GAAACCAAAGCTCAAGCTGTAGCAAGCAAGGTCAAAGGAGGAAGAAAGGGCAAGGCAACACAACCGCGTGTCGCTGATAACGAGGCCACCAACAAGTCAGACACCGAGGTGATCGACGACAACGCCGATGAAGAAACTGACTCTGACTCGGACCATGACAATGATGGCAAGCAATACAACTTTCGTACCCTAGCGAAGCTACTTGAGCCAGTTCCAAAACTCACACAACTACTATAGTTGGAGCACCCATATCAAGTCTTTCCTACGATGTGTCCCCCATGCTATGAAGCATCTCGATGGAGCGTATGACAAGAAACATCCCAAGTGGAATCACACATTCGATGATGCCTTAACAAATGCACTACACAGTACCATCGATACCACTGGAGAGTTTAACATAAATTACTTGATTCTTGACATCATCAGGGAACATCATACGTTCCATAATGTATGGAAGAAGATTGAAAATGGACTCACCAATGAGGCCACTGCCATATCTCGTTGTATTGCATTGATCGCTCAGCTAGGAGAACTCAGGATGTACAACTCAGACGTACAAAAGCTCATCCAAGAAATAAGAACCATCCAAACGGAGAGCAGTGTCATGGGCCTGAATGCTCAAGGAGCAGGAGGGTCACTGGTTCATATGGAAGGAGCAGGAGCACAGGTATCGAGGAGCTAGTCGATACCAGTAGAAAGCATGGTCGTAGTGCAGTCTCCATGGAGGCCATGGACTCCTATGGATTCACATGCAAAGGAGGACCGGGCCCATATGCGAGGAGGGCCCGCCACGAAGAGGACCAAGCTCAAGGAGCATGCAGATGGTTACCACTCAGGGGCTCGAGAGATAAGAGCCAAAGGAACCATCACCGGTCGAGGGAGGAGGAGCAGTGTATAGGAGACCGGCAAGTAGGTCCTGAGGAGGAGGAGCAGTGTTGAAGGAGTCGACACAGCTCAGGAGGCCCAGGGGTGCCAAGCAAGCAGGGTAGCAAGGAGGAGGAGCAGTGTCGAAGGAGTCGACACAGCTCAGGAGGACAGGAGTGGTGCTAGAGGGCCCCCTGTACAGTACTCGACGAAGAGGGTACTCTCTGGAGAGAGAGCAGGAGCAGGGTCACTGGCGACGCTGTGAAGAGGTATATAACCATGCCTTCTCGTCATCAGAGGTCAAGTGGATCCTCATCCACTCTACTCACCATACAACTAGTCAATACTTTAGCAACATAAGTACTCATTAGTTTCCAGTCAGCATAGCAGCAATCTATCAAGGTTGCTCCTCATCGTAGTGTGTGTGTTGTATCACCACTACCTGACGTCCGAAGGCGCCCATAGCAGGTTAGTGGTCCGGATATAGATAGAACCGAAGGCAGTAGTCCACTGCGGTCCCGGGATCACCTCAAGCATTAGTCAGCACACTGGACACTCGTGTTGACACCACCAACCTCATCACCAACACCATCATCTTCATCATCATCGACATTCACCAACCTCATCACCAACACCATCATCCTCATCATCATCGACATTCACCAACCTCATCACCAACACCATCAACCTCATCCCCATCAGTGCTCACACCAGACCTTGGTGTCATCATAACCTTCGTATCAATACTGATCGTGCCGAGCCACCTCTGAACGGAGTGTCCACAGAGGTCAGCCGAAACCTACAATAACGTATACAACAAACGCCACCTGCTGTCACTGCACAACTTGATAGTCACCGAGCAACTAGCTCTTAGAGACCAATACTGAGACAATAGCTGTTGCACAGTTAGATAGTCACCGAGTATCTCGACAGACCGACCTGGGTTTCAGGCGCGCGACCCCTGACACCAAGCACTGGAAGTTGAAGCACATCGACACAAGGTACCACTTCGTCAGAGACCATGTTCAGGAAGGAGAAGTCAAAATCAATTTCGTCGGGACAACAGACAATGTCGCAGACATCCTCACGAAGCCGTTAAAGGGCTTGGCTACGTCTGGGATCACACGCCTAATAGGATTGACGATGCCGTCAAGGGGGGGAGTTGAAGATGTGTCGGCATCCTAAACTGAATCACGTGGTCCGCGGAGCACAAGCGAGATACCGGTGAGTCAGAGCTGCATGTCAACATGCATCAATATGCATGTGGGACATATAAGTACTTCAACAATAACACTCAGGAGATGGTAACGCTCAGGAGGTGACAACACAGGGGTGATATGAAGAATAGTTCATTATGATCTAGTATGGGCTGAAGATAGCAATCAAGTATATATATGTTCACATTGTAGCACCTATCAATTAAAAACACAACACCCGTTATACGCCTGATCAGTTGAGCTTGCTAGTAGCTCCTAAACAGTCGCGTTTTACCTGTAATCTTCAACTAACACACACACGAATGCGGCAAATTTCTTTTGTCTGCGGGTTATCCTACTAATGTGCGATGATTAAAGATCTAACACAACAAACACACGCACACACACACACGCAGGCACACACACACGACAACTCGCGTGGAATTTTTCCTCCTTCACGCGCAGGGACCACCACTACTACCAAAATCCAATCTTTTTCCTCTTCCTCTTCCATCCTCCCCTCCCCTCTCTTCCATCCTCTCCTTGCCACCATCCCCCTTCCCCCGCTTTCATCAAGATGGGCATATTCAACGCCCTAGTCTCCGGCACCTTTCTCCCCTTCTCTCGTCGTCGCAGCAATCGCGAAACAGACTACGAAACCGTCCTGTCTCGACTCGAAACCGAAATCCAAACCGTACAATCCCGTCTCACTCAAATCCGACTTCGAGAACGACGTGCATCAGTCACTCTAACCCTACAAGCATTCCTCCTTTGGGCTATCTACACCTTTGTTTGTTGGGTTTTCGGTTTACTTCCCCTGCAACGACCTCATCATTTGGATGCAGGAGGAGGAGCGGGGAAGAAGGGATGGGTTGGAACAAGAACATATCTAGTTTGGATCCCAGTCCTAGGCAGTCCAGTGCTGATTATTTCAACAAGGAGAATTGTTAGGTGGTGGTATAGGAGGATTGGAGCGGCAGAAGAGAAACATTTGATCGATTTAAGAAGACAAAAGAGAGAAAAAATCGATGAGATTAAGAAAGCTACCAAGTATGATCACCTTCGAATGTTACTGGATAAGTATGATGAAGCTTCACCTGTCAAAGCGGAGCTTTCCACACCTATGAAAGGAAAACCTAACTCCAAAAATGTCACTCCGACAAAGTCTCCCAACAACCGCTCTCCTCAACAACAGCAACAACAACAACGACAGAGAATTGCAGGTTCGGCAACACCAGAAACCGCAGCAAATATCCAAGCACAAAAAATGGCTTCCATGCGTCAACAACCCCGTCAACAAGCCCCCACAGCCTCAATCCCAGTACTACCGATGCAGAAAACATGGACAGACAAACTGGCAGATGCAATCCTCGGTTCAGATCCTTCCGTCGTAGGTCCCGAACAGAAATACGCTTTGATCTGCAATCGTTGTTTCCGCCACAACGGACTGGCGTTGAAGGAGGAGTTTAATGAGGTGCAGTATGTTTGTTCTCAATGTGGAAATTTTAACTCTCGCCGACCAAGTTCAGCGCCCGTTAGCTCGCCGTTTAATAATAATACTGGTAGTAGAGGCGCGGGAAGGGTAAGTGTAGGAGGCAGTATGAGCGGAGGGGTGTTGGAGACCCCGAGTAAACCAGGAAAGACAGCGAGTAGAGGGAGTAAGTTGAAATTGAGTACTGATGCAAGTAGCGATGAGGAAGCGGAGGATGAGCCTCCGAAAACGACGTTGCAGGAAGAACAGGAGACTGGGAAGATGGATGAATCGCCAAGAGATGCTAGATCGAAGTCGCTGCGGGCTAGGAAGTCGGCGAGTGGGAAGGCGGAGGGGATGGATTTCGATGATGACTAGAAGCATCAATTCCTTGTCTCCCTGAAAAGAACTTGTCGTTCTCGTTGGCATTCTTTTCACACTCACTGCCATGCATTCCACAACCACGGAAATCACATGAGCGATTGCATACGCTGCGCCCAACATGCTCGCCAATCTCGAAATTCCTTTCACCGCAACAAAGCCGCTCAGAGATAAGAATCGACTGGACTCCAGATACAACCTGTGTTCGAATGGCAATCGAGTGTCGGATCAGAATGAAAGCTTTACGACCTGTGACGTTACTGAGTCACTCGATGGCCTTGCGGAGTGCAGTGGAGATGCATCCTCTTCCGAAATGCACTGCCGAGAGGAGTGAGTTGCGGTAGATTCCTGCTGGTGCTGGTGCGGCCATGATTGCGGGTTTCGCGCTAGGAGGTTAGTATACGGTACCAAGTTGACTGGAAAGTTGGGATCATCGATATGAGAGACTGGAAAGCTGAGTTTGCTTTGCCCCGCCTATCACCGCCTAGCCTCTGACTTCCCCCCCCCCCTTTTACCTTGCTCTCATTGGCTTCTTCATCTCACCGTAAGACCATGAGTGGCATCTCTTCAGCTGTCGAATGTCCTTGACAACAGCAAAAGATGGTCGACCACGGCTGAACCTCAAATCAGCAAAAAAATAATGTATAACCATTGCAACAGTTGAAGATGCACCGACATCGCCAACGCGTGATGTATTAAATAGGAGCTCACAGGATCGGGGAATCGGGAAGGCATCGGGCGATGAGGAGGACAAGCAGAATGCGAAGCTAGTGGGAGCTAACGCAGTCTATGCACGAGGATTGACACCATGGTATGCAGGGAATATGTTGATATGACAACACTTATGAAAGAAGATACGTGGCACATGGGCATGACTCGACAAAGGGAGCACAGTCAGGTGCCGAGAACATGTATATATGCCCTTAGCTTAGTCGTTACCTCCTTACAAAATTTAAGCCTTTTACATATAGAGCATCAGACTAAGAGGAGTGCCTGACTGTTGCCTCCTGAGTGGTGTATCTAATTTCAACTGCAACACACAGGTGTTAAACGGAGTCCATTCAAAAAATGAAAATAATATTGAGTTGTTCCCAGCCGGGGAATCGAACCCCGATCTCAGCAGCTCACGCCCTGACATCTTGTTGGAGACAGAATAGTGAAAGTGCCGTATACTCACCGTTGTACTAACTGGGACTTTGTAAAAGGCTGAAAGCAATAAACATATATATTGCAAAGTATCATCACGGTGATAGAGCATTGAAGTTGCGGTGTGGCGACGATACCTGGCACCACTTCTACTCCTGTCAGCCTGTCCGTCAACAAGCGGAGACAATTGTTTTTAGCTCTGCATGTGTGAATACGGTTCTGTTTCCCTGTGAGTGCGGAGAAGTGCGACGGCACATCAAGTGAGAGTGTGCTAGAGGAGAGTTGTGGCGCCAGTGGCAAAAGGCGATGTTCGACAGCCAGAGTGTTGTCATGGTGGTCTTTGTGCTTCGTCTCAATTTCTCCTGGTTCCAATCTGGCGCTGCTCAAGCAAGCAATGAATGTCACGAGAAAGAGTCCAGGATGTCGCTCCTTGCAACGATAAAGCGTCTCCCGTGTCGGAGCGGAGGGTAATCAACAAGATGCCACTCAATAAGACACAAGTTGCGAAAGCTAGTGAAACAGCAGCTGCGGTAGATTTAGTCCGTCTCTCAGTGGAAGCGAAGCCGTCGTCAAGTGAAGCATCACCGACTGTCCCCGTTACAAAACGGAGGACGGAACGACTCGAGTCAATGGCAACATGAAGCGAGGTTTCGTCGGCAAACAATGACCATCTCTCGCTCGCTCCGTGTTCGAGCGGACCTTACTTACTTCGACATCCGCTTCCTGACAGCCGAGACTTGACCAACGCTTTTGTCTTCACTGCTGCATGTGCTGTGCTCACCTGGTTCGGATCGAGTGTTCTGGAAGCAGTGGATTTGAGCATGACTCTCCTCACAGGTACGCTTGCGCTCGGCAAGAACTCTTACCAGTCGAACTCGACGTCGACGAGCTTGTTCGAAACCGAAAGATTCGAAACGACACTACGCTCCGTCAAATAAGACCAAGCCTGAGCGTACCAACCTGACCACTCATTCGCCATCTATCGATCCACAAATCCACACGACTGATTCCCCACACGAGAAAAGGATGCTATATTTGCTGTGTGAAGACAAGCCGACTAAACGAGAAAGCAAAAGTCTACTCATCATGACCATGCTCCAAATGACCTTGCTTAGAGTTATAATAAGCGTTCTTACTCTTTGCCCAAGCAATAAGGCCGTATCCTATGCAAAACGCAACCCAAAATAACGATGTCAGTACATCTCCCTTACTCTCAACGCACTCCCAACCTCATTCTAATCTCCCAACAGAAGAGAGATGTCGAACTTACCTGCAGCGAAAGGAATAGCAAAGTAAGGAGCCTGCTGCATGATCCGCTTGAATCCATAGAAGAGGTAAGAGTGAAGAGCACCTTTCATCGCGTTCTGCTGGAACGGAGAGACGGAGTACTGAATGATACCCTTTTGAGTTGGACCGCCCATGTCGCCCCACCATCCCATCTGTCGTCGTCAAAGAAACGATTGTGGAGCGAGGCAATGCGTTTTATAGAAGGGTCGAGGCGATTGTTAGGACGGATGGGTGAAGTGTCGGTCGTGGCGAAGGGTCAAATGATGGGAGTGTCAAGTGCATGTCCGAGGACGGGAATGCGATTGTTGATACAGTAACGAACGCAGACGAGATAGGAAGACCAAAAAAAAATCAAAACTACTATCAGCAAACTATACCATCGACTACATTACCACAAAAGTATCGCTACTCTGATCCTCCCATCCATGCTTTACTACCTCTCACACTAAACTTGCCTGCATTGACTTCAAAATGTCGGTCGTCCGTCGCCAATCGACTGAATCTACCACGAATGCCAACCCATCCACGCCTCCGATCCATCCCCATCATTAACAGCAACAACTTGAGCAAAGACTTACATATTTCTTGCCCGTAGGCATACCCGAAAACGCTGCCTGAGAAGTTCTCATCTTTGCCAGATCCAACAGATGTGTATAGAAAAATGATGTGTAAGATGCAGTAACAAAGGCAAAGCTGATAGCGACGACCATTTTTCAACACCCACCTGATCGCGTTCTTCGTACCATTTTCCATTCCGCACGAGAGTCAACTTTCTAGAAATCCAACTCCCACAAGCGAGGACCAATCCGAATCTCAGCATTTGCACTGAAAATTCTAATCCACACGTACGAAAAACCGAATCTCCTCTTGTGTTACGTCAGCAGAAACGCACATTTCCAGTTTCGCCAGCTCACTCTTCTTTCGACACACGCACAAAGCCGAGAAAGAAGAGAGAAAAAGCAAGATTGCATGCGTAATATATGAAAGGTAGGATGTACAAAGAATACGAATCAACATCAAGACAACACCGAGGGAAACACCTCAACCCTTGATACTCGAACTAGAAGGTGAGACAGATCCACTGCTCGATCCTTTATCCGTGTGCAATCGGACGCAGAACACCGTAGTATCGCCGATGAACACAATCTGGTTCCTGCTGGCAGCCACAGACTCCCATACTGGGTTGCGTTGCACCGCTGGAGGAGGTCTGGGCGTAGAAGCCTGTCCGAAAGCGTATGGCATCTGCGGCCTTGCTGCTGCAACCGCTGCAGGAGGTGGGAATGGCGTCCCCGCTGCTGCGGCGGGATGAACCATCGGCGGCGCACCTGGTACACCCGGCACACCAGGGAAAGCACCTGGAGCAGGCCTTGCCATCGGTGGACCACCTGGTCGCATCCCAACCCCAAAGCCTGGCGTGCCAGGAGGAGGCACCATAGCCCCATTCGGACCGAACGCAGGCCTTGCTCCTGGGAAAGGCGTCATTGGTGGTCCCATTCCGTTCTGCAGAGGTGGAGGTACCATTGGCCTTGCTCCATATGGACCCATGATCGCTGCTGCTGCATTGAACGAGTTAGCTCGCATCGCTGCCACTGCTTGCGCGTTCTGCTGGTGCACGCTCGGCGTCGGTGGTGGTACATCGGCAAACAAGCATCGCAGGTTGACACCGGTAATGACCTGATGCAGTGCACCTGTCTCCACATGTCGCACCTCGACGAAGCTCGGCTCGAAGGCGAGGACGTATGGATGATGGTAGGCGAAAGAAGTCGGGTTCCCTTCCCAGTGAATGATCCAGTTGCTCTTAGCACGCCAACCGTTCTTGTTGACATAGAACGCAAACTCGTCATAGCACAACAGGAATTCGCCTGAAATGCGGTAGATCGCGATGGGCTTGACGCTCTCCCGTCGATGGACGAAGTCGAGTAATGTATCGGCGGGATCGAGCAGGCCCTGTGTGTCGAGCGTCTCGAGATCAACAATTTCGAAACCTTTGGTGCAACCAACGCAGAGCTTGGTCTTGAGGAAGTGGATCGAGCTCGACTCGGTGGGGATGTAGAACTCCTTGAAGACACGCAGAGAGTCCTGTCCACCTTGCAAGAGCTTCTTGAACGTTGGCTGCTTTTTGCCTCGAACGTTCTGCTCGATCGGTTCCAATGTCTTGATTGTCGAAGAGAGCGAACTCGACTTGACCACGCAGACCAATGTGCGTCCTAGACAGATACCGGCACGGAAGAAGGATGTATGCGAAGAGATGCGGCGACCGCGCTTCAACGAGCCCATCGGATCAGAAGGGTCCAAAGCATCGAGCGTGAAAGTGTGCACCGACTTCTCTGCGAGCACGATGAGGATCTGGTACTCTTCCAACACATCCACCTGCGTGACACCCGGCAATGGCAGAACTTTCGTCGGCGGTCTTGCCTTTTCGCGCAGATCTGACAGATAGACACCGTCGTCAGTGCCATAGATGATGCGGCGACCAAAGTCGAACGGCACCGAGCAGTTGACACGATTGGGTCCCAAGAAGAAGTTCTCGGAAAGCGTGATGGTATCAAAGATGTTGCTGCGCTGTCGGAGGATCTCCTGTCGCGACTCAATGTTCTCGAACCACTTTTTGCGGCTGACGAACGTGCTTGCCCATAGCGTCATCGAGTAACCCTTCTTGCCGAGGTAGGCGAAGGTGAGGGCATAGCCAGTCTTGGCGTCCTGCTTGGGTGCTGTTCCCGGCGTGCCGCTGTAGCGCGTTCCTATCGAAGTGCGCGACATGACCGACTTGGGCCGTGTGGAGCTTCCCTTGCCTGTTGGAACTTCGTCGTAGACCGTCACGATCAGCAGCTCGAGCGGGATCGGCTTGCGGTAGACCTTGTAGAGCTCGTGCTTGTTGACCATCTTCGGCTTCACCATCAGCAACGCATGATCGAAGAGGAACACCTGAAGCTCCGCGCTTTCGCTTTGGGTTCCACCGCGCTTCTTGAGCGGGCCTTTGAAGACGAGCTCTCTCTGTTCGTCTCGCAGACGCAGATCGACAGCTTCGCCTTGCTTGAACACCAGCTGCTGATCGAGCTGAGCGAGAGTGAACCGATTCTCGCTCTTACCCGTCTCTACATTGACTTTGGTGAGGAATTCTTTGACAATCTTGATCACCTTGGGGACCGTCTGCTTGTCTGGGTGTTCTTCCGGGGTATACTTGTTCACCTGCTCAAGCAGCAAGGGGTATCGTGCAAGTCGCGTCGTGGGTTTGGTCAAATAGCCGTTGAGCTCAAGCTTGCGTGATTGCGGAAGACGCTCTGTCTCATCGACGAACTTGGCAAAGGCTGGATTGGACGACTTCTCCTTCTCGAACTCGTACTTTCCGTACAGTTGATGAGCACCGTACTTGACGAAGGGCTGGAAGTGAGGTACCATCTCGAGCAAGATGTCACCGATTCTGTCGACTATATCTGCCTGCTTCTGTCGTTTGGTGAGCATTTCGGCCAGCCTGGCGTTGACAGCGTGGATCTCGAGAACGTTCCAGAAAACCTGGGTGACAAAGTCCTCGCGGTGATCTTCAGGGATGATGTCAGAAGTGCGCAGCGGCTTGACCCACCGATCCCGCAAGTACTCCATGTCGGCTACAAAATCGCGTTCAGTATAGATAACCTCATTGATGGCTTCCTGTCGCTTGCGCTCGGTGTCGTCGAGGCTGTCAAACACTTCTTTGGATACCGACTCGGCCCAAAGGGCGCCTGTCTCGGTGGTGTCGTTGAGCGACTCCCTGCTGACGCTGC